AAAGCATTCTTCATGTCGAGCTGCATTAGGTTGAGATCGAGGACGGCGACTATGCTGAGGAAGATCCTCAGCGTGACGTAGCTGCTCACCGAGGAGGACGTCTTGTCGCAGTCAGCGCCGTACACCTGTGTGAAGCCCTTCACGACTAGCCTCGCCTTCTCGCGCTCGACGGTGTCGTCGATGCGGTACTTGGTCGTCAGCACCCATCGGTTCTTCATGATGTTCACCCCGCGTGGGCGTTCGACCAGCTCCCAAGTCCCCATAGTGATGAGGCTACGGATTTCTTCTTCCATGGCGGCCTTCACCGCCTTGCCCTTCCAGCTCGACAGCGCCTCCTTCACCGTCATCGTGGCAATGTCCCAGCGGTGTTCCAGGTCGGCATGCATGTTCCGCGTCGAGCTCCAGCAGGTCTTCATCCTCCTCGGCATCGTCGTACAGCAGGTCGTCGTCGACCTCGTTGTACACCGTGGTGAAGGCAGCAGGCGGTAGGCAGGCATGTAAGCACAACCGCTCCGGCGGCCGTCAAGCTCGACATGTACGTCGTAGCTCGGGCTTCGTGATCGGCACTTCCATTACATCATTGTCGGTGGACTCACCCGCCGACAGCTCCCCTTTCTTATCAACAAGAACGTCGTTGACCAGCTGCTTCGACCCTTCGACCGGCTGTTCCTCTGCTGCTGCCTTTGACAACTCTCCTGTTGACCGCTCCGTCTGCCGCTCCCCTGTCGAGTGTACCCCTGCCGATGCCTCCTGTTTGATCGGCTCCCCTGTCAGGTGCTCCCCTGTCATCGACGGCTTCCCATCGTAGTCGACAAGCTTGGCGCCTTGTCGTCCGCCGGCGATGCCACTAGCCGGCGCCACAGGCGACGCCTCCAGTCTCCCCTCATCGTTGGTGGCCGACACATGTGTCGGCGCAGGCAGATCGGCGACGAGAGAGGGAGGAGCAAGAACAGGGGGAGGTGGAAGAACCTCCACAACATCTTCATCAGCAAGCTCGTCGACTTCGGCGAGCAAGGGAACCGTCGCCGTCGAGGTGTCCGTCGGCGGGTGCGCCTGCGTCCGCTCCAACGCCGGCCCATACTTCGCCTTCCACACCTCCAGTGACAGCGTCTCGTAGAAGATCACCTCGACCGACGTGACCACTTTGTTGTCGGTCAGGTCGAGCACCTCCCAGCCCTTGCTCTTCGGCGACACACCCAGGTGAAGCCCCCAACGAGCCTTCGGCGCCAGCTTCCCGCCTCGTTGCTGCTCGGGAACCATGAACTGCACCATGCAACCCCACACCCGTGCTAGCGTAAGGTTGGGCCTCTGCCCGGTCAGCAGCTGGTACGGAGTCGTTCCCGGCGGCGTCGTCGACCGCTCAAAGCAGTTGCGCACCCAGACCGCTTATCATAGAGCAAGGTGCCACCAGTGATGCTGCACGCCCATGTGCAGTAGCATCGTCCGCACGGACTCGACGACCATGCGCATCTCCCGCTCAGCCATGCCATTCTGCTGCGGAGTGTAGGGGCACGTCAGGTCGTGGACGATGCCCTTCCCGTCGACGAAATCGGTGAACGCCTTCCCGAGGAATTCCCCCCCTTGATAGGAGCGAAGCGACAGAACCGACTTCTTTGTTTGTCGTTCCACAAGCACCAGTCACTTCTCGAACTCGCGCAGCACATCGCTCTTCTTAGCAACCGGCATTGCCCACACGAATCGAGTATGGTGATCCTTCAGCAGTAGGAAGTACAAGCTGCCATCCTTGGCAGCCACCGGAAACGGCCCGCACAAGTCAATGTGCACGACAGTCAGCGCCTCCGCTGCATCCGAGCCCTTGGTGGGGAAGGTGTGGCGTGCCAGTTTTTCTCCGATGCACGGGACACACAGCGGGTCTGCTCCGGTAAACAACGTGATGTCGAGCCCAGTAGCAACATCATGCTTCGCCGAGCTCTTGATCGTGTCGAGGCTGACGTGTGCGAGCCGTGCATGCATCCTGTCGGGGGTCGTCTTCGTCGCGGAGATGATCGTCCGTAGAGCCACCACCTCGGTCGACGGCAACTGCGTCGAGCAGGGGCGAAGGTCAGTGCAGAGTATCCGTCTGGTGTAGCGAGCTCGACCGAGCACCTCCCCAGTCGCAGAGATGAGCAGCATCTCATCGCCATCGCCCTGCAGCAGCACTCTGCTCTCCTTCAGCTGGCCAGCAGACAACACGTTTGCCTGTACGCACGGAACGTAAAGTACGTCGGGGATGAGGACCCACTTCCCGGCCTCCCCTTGCATAGCGACGGTTCCGCGACCCTTGACAGGCTGCAATGCCCCGTTGAACCCACGCACGTGCTTCACCCCGTCGCTCGGCCCCATGTCGACGAAGACCGACTTCGTCCCCATCAGGTGGTGGGAGCACCCGCTGTCGAGTAGCACCGCCATCGGCTTGGCCTGCATGGCTGCCGCCACTGCCTGGAAGTCCTCGCCAGCCTCCGGCGCCAGCGAGACCGTCGGCTCCACTACGCCGACCATCGAGCACGACGCCTCCCCGTCGCCTTGGCTCTTGCCGCTGGAGCTGTCGACGTCTTTCGTCGACGACGTCTTCTTCGACGCTTGCTTCTCCTTGCGCGGCTTCTCTACTCGACGGGGGCGACGACTGGCCGATCGTCCGCGGCCTGCCTTGTTGTCGTCCTTGTCACGGTCATCGCAGTTGGAGCACTCAAAGGAGAGATGGTCAGGGTCGCCGCAGATCCAGCACTCCCGCCGTCGACCACCACCTCGTCGACCCTTGTCCCGCGTCGACCTCTTCTCGTTGACGTCCTTCGTCGACCGCCCACCTCCGCTACCACCTCCGCCTGGCTTTTCGTGCTGCTCCTGCTGATAATTCGGCTTCGTCGGTGCAGCGTAACTCGCCTGCGGAAGGAACTCCGTGGGCTGCTCTGCCTCCTGCATCGCCTCATCCTCAAGAATGTAGCTGGTGATGGAGTCCTCGTCAAGGGACTCACGCGTGCCGGGCACCATCATCATTCTCTTCATGAGATTGTAGCTGTGTGGCAAGCCCTTGACGATGTGGGTGATGTAGGACGCCGTCGAGTATTCGGCGCCCGCCATTCGCATCTCGGCCAGGATCCGTCGAGCACAATTGCAGTAATCCGTCGCTGACTCTTGCTCGCCCATCCGAATGTGAGTCATCTTCTCCTCTAGCTGTCCGATGTACAGGTCGTCCCTAACCTGGTACGTCGATATGATGAAGCGCCATGCCTGGTGACCAGCATCCAGACGCTCTCGACAGCTCCTGAGCGCCAGCTGCACCACCGGCAAGCAGCACCTCGAGATGACCATGAAGGTGAGCAGGTGAGCAGAACGAAACTCCTCGCGCTGCCCGACATCCTCCTCGGGCGGAATTGGCACGGTGCTGTCGGCAAAGCCCTTCAGCCCGGCAACCTCCAGCTGAGGTTTGATCGACTCCCTCCAGGTGATGAGGTCCCGTCGACCTTGCAGCGGAGCGACGGTGATTCGATCCGGCGAAAACTTGAAGTAGCCATACGCCGTTGCAATCCCGCTGGCCGTCACATGTGTCGTCGCCGAGAGCCCGCCACCACTTCGTAGAGGAGAGCGACGTCGAACATCGACGTCGGCGTGCGAGCTGCCTGCAGCCGCCGTCAACCGCTGCACTCGCGCCTGGATTCCGTCGACACTACCGTCGACATTGATCACTCCTCTCTGCCTCGTGCCTTCGCTGCCGCTGACTCGTGCACCACCGTCGACCTCGTCGTCGACACCACCTTTGTTGCGCACCGGTCGAGGAGAAGTAGGACGGGAAGGGTGTTCCGTCGCCCACTGCGACCGGATGCCCAACTCGGCGATCACCAAGGGGATCGTCCCGTACTCGCCATCCGCATGGCGTCTCCTCGCGTTAGCCAAGCGTGCCTCCAAGGTGTCCGTTAGACCCGCATCAACCACGGGGTCGACCATGGCGACTATCGCTGCTGCCGGCCTACGAACGACTTAGTAGGTGCAGAAGTCGGCTCCTATCTGAAGGTCGCGTGTTTGATCGACACTCACCGCACCATGCGCAGATACACTCTACAACGGTTGTGAGCTGGACTACATGGTTGGCACGAACTACTAAAGGTGATCGTAGCTTTGCTTGGTTCCTTAGTGCTTGCACATTCACGAGAGAAATTGGCAAGAGTTTCCACTAGCAAAGTTAAGAATCCAGAATAATACAAGAAGCAATCACAACAAAGACTACATCAGGCACCTAGCAACCCTACAGCTAGCCTGGTCGACCGCCAGCGCAGCTCGGTCGATCGCCTGCCAGCATTGCATAGAGGAGCCGCGCCAGCACTGCAGAAGGGCGACCTGCCAACAAAGCAGGTCGACGGCGTGCCCCGTAGAACACAGCAGTGCGCGCGCTCGCAGGTGTGCGCAGACGATTGGCCCGACTTGCCTCGTTGGGCATCCGTCGGCTGTTGTCTGCGCCTGACGAGCCACATTGACTTTGGGATACCAATCCAAAGTCGCCTGCGCCATCGCGATCTTGACGACGTTCGCGAGCCCTCGCAGAACTCGTCGAGCAGGTTACCCGGTCGACCGGGTCGACCCCTGGTGCTCTGGTCGACCCCCAGGTGCCTCCGGTCGACCACTGGGTCCCTCTGGTCGACCCCCAAGTCCCTCCGGTCGACCACTGGGTCCCTCCTGGTCGACCACAACTCCCGTTGAGCTTCCCCCTGGTCGACGGACCCCTTGCGTCGACCAGAACTGCTTTGTCGACCTCCCGGTCGAACTGTAGGTCGACGAGATGCTCCCCAGTCCTCCCGGTCGAGTTGCAGTTCAACGGGATGCTCCATAGACCTCCTCGTTGAGCTGTAGGTCGACAGACTGCTTCATTGACCTCCCGGACGGCCCACCCGTCGCACAAACCAGTCAGTTGCAGCTGTCGGGCTCCTTGGTCGACAGCAACACCACAGTGGTCCGCTGCAGCTCGACGTAACCTATCGAGCAGCTATCCCACTGTGAACGGTCGGCTGCTACTCCCGTACATCCGACCAAGTCGTCGGCGTTGCCCAAGCGAGGGCGGGGCCAACACTCCATTCCTGTTGACATTGGCTGGCCTTGCTTGCTGCTGGGGTGGGGAGGGGAAAACAGGGAAGGAAAGAGGGTACACTGGGGACTGTTGGGCTCTGCCTTGGCTGGCCTTGCTTGCTGCTGGGGTGGGGAGGGGAAAACAGGGAGGGAAAGATGGTACACTGGGGACTGTTGGGCTCTGCCTTGGCTGGCCTTGCTTGCTGCTGGGGTGGGGAGGGGAAAACAGGGAGGGAAAGAGGGTACACTGGGGACTGTTGGGCTCTGCCTTGGTTGGCCTTGCTTGCTGCTGGGGTGGGGAGGGGAAAACAGGGAGGGAAAGAGGGTACACTCGGGACTGTTGGGCTCTGCCTTGGCTGGCCTTGCTTGCTGCTGGGGTGGGGAGGGGAGAACAGGGAGGGAAAGAGGGTACACTGGGGACTGTTGGGCTCTGCCTTGGCTGGCCTTGCTTGCTGCTGGGGTGGGGAGGGGAAAACAGGGAGGGAAAGAGGGTACACTGGGGACTGTTGGGCTCTGCCTTGGCTGGCCTTGCTTGCTGCTGGGGTGGGGAGGGGAAAACAGGGAGGGAAAGAGGGTACACTGGGGACTGCTGGACTCTGCCTTGGCTGGCCTTGCTTGCTGCTGGGGTGGGGAGGGGAAAAGAGGGAGGGAAAGAGGGTACACTGGGGACTGTTGGGCTCTGCCTTGGCTGGCCTTGCTTGCTGCTGGGGTGGGGAGGGGAAAACAGGGAGGGAAAGAGGGTACACTGGGGACTGTTGGGCTCTGCCTTGGCTGGCCTTGCTTGCTGCTGGGGTGGGGAGGGGAAAACAGGGAGGGAAAGAGGGTACACTGGGGACTGTTGGGCTCTGCCTTGGCTGGCCTTGCTTGCCGCTGGGGTGGGGAGGGGAAAACAGGGAGGGAAAGAGGGTACACTGGGGACTGTTGGGCTCTGCCTTGGCTGGCTTTGCTTGCTGCTGGGGTGGGGAGGGGATAACAGGGAGGGAAAGAGGGTACACTGGGGACTGTTGGGCTCTGCCTTGGCTGGCCTTGCTTGCTGCTGGGGTGGGGAGGGGAAAACAGGGAGGGAAAGAGGGTACACTGGGGACTGTTGGGCTCTGCCTTGGCTGGCCTTGCTTGCTGCTGGGGTGGGGAGGGGAAAACAGGGAGGGAAAGAGGGTACACTGGGGACTGTTGGGCTCTGCCTTGGCTGGCCTTGCTTGCTGCTGGGGTGTGGAGGGGAAAACAGGGAGGGAAAGAGGGTACACTGGGGACTGTTGGGCTCTGCCTTGGCTGGCCTTACTTGCTGCTGGGGTGGGGAGGGGAAAACAGGGAGGGAAAGAGGGTACACTGGGGACTGTTGGGCTCTGCCTTGGCTGGCCTTGCTTCCTGCTGGGGTGTGGAGGGGAAAACAGGGAGGGAAAGAGGGTACACTGGGGACTGTTGGGCTCTGCCTTGGCTGGCCTTACTTGCTGCTGGGGTGGGGAGGAGAAAACAGGGAGGGAAAGAGGGTACACTGGGGACTGTTGGGCTCTGCCTTGGCTGGCCTTGCGTGCTGCTGGGGTGGGGAGGGGATAACAGGGAGGGAAAGAGGGTACACTGGGGACTGTTGGGCTCTGCCTTGGCTGGCCTTGCTTCCTGCTGGGGTGGGGAGGGGAAAACAGGGAGGGAAAGAGGGTACACTGGGGACTGTTGGGTTCTGCCTTGGCTGGCCTTGCTTGCTGCTGGGGTGGGGAGGGGAAAACAGGGAGGGAAAGAGGGTACACTGGGGACTGTTGGGCTCTGCCTTGGCTGGCCTTGCTTGCTGCTGGGGTGGGGAGGGGAAAACAGGGAGGGAAAGAAGGTACACTGGGGACTGTTGGGCTCTGCCTTGGCTGGCCTTGCTTGCTGCTGGGGTGGGGAGGGGAAAACAGGGAGGGAAAGAGGGTACACTGGGGACTGTTGGGCTCTGCCTTGGCTGGCCTTGCTTGCTGCTGGGGTGGGGAGGGGAAAACAGGGAGGGAAAGAGGGTACACTGGGGACTGTTGGGCTCTGCCTTGGCTGGCCTTGCTTGCTGCTGGGGTGGGGAGGGGAAAACAGGGAGGGAAAGAGGGTACACTGGGGACTGTTGGGCTCTGCCTTGGCTGGCCTTGCTTGCCGCTGGGGTGGGGAGGGGAAAACAGGGAGGGAAAGAGGGTACACTGGGGACTGTTGGGCTCTGCCTTGGCTGGCTTTGCTTGCTGCTGGGGTGGGGAGGGGATAACAGGGAGGGAAAGAGGGTACACTGGGGACTGTTGGGCTCTGCCTTGGCTGGCCTTGCTTGCTGCTGGGGTGGGGAGGGGAAAACAGGGAGGGAAAGAGGGTACACTGGGGACTGTTGGGCTCTGCCTTGGCTGGCCTTGCTTGCTGCTGGGGTGGGGAGGAGAAAACAGGGAGGGAGAGAGGGTACACTGGGGACTGTTGGGTTCTGCCTTGGCTGGCCTTGCTTGCTGCTGGGGTGGGGAGGGGAAAACAGGGAGGGAAAGAGGGTACACTGGGGACTGTTGGGCTCTGCCTTGGCTGGCCTTGCTTGCTGCTGGGGTGGGGAGGGGAAAACAGGGAGGGAAAGAGGGTACACTGGGGACTGTTGGGCTCTGCCTTGGCTGGCCTTGCTTGCTGCTGGGGTGTGGAGGGGAAAACAGGGAGGGAAAGAGGGTACACTGGGGACTGTTGGGCTCTGCCTTGGCTGGCCTTACTTGCTGCTGGGGTGGGGAGGGGAAAACAGGGAGGGAAAGAGGGTACACTGGGGACTGTTGGGCTCTGCCTTGGCTGGCCTTGCTTCCTGCTGGGGTGTGGAGGGGAAAACAGGGAGGGAAAGAGGGTACACTGGGGACTGTTGGGCTCTGCCTTGGCTGGCCTTACTTGCTGCTGGGGTGGGGAGGAGAAAACAGGGAGGGAAAGAGGGTACACTGGGGACTGTTGGGCTCTGCCTTGGCTGGCCTTGCGTGCTGCTGGGGTGGGGAGGGGATAACAGGGAGGGAAAGAGGGTACACTGGGGACTGTTGGGCTCTGCCTTGGCTGGCCTTGCTTCCTGCTGGGGTGGGGAGGGGAAAACAGGGAGGGAAAGAGGGTACACTGGGGACTGTTGGGTTCTGCCTTGGCTGGCCTTGCTTGCTGCTGGGGTGGGGAGGGGAAAACAGGGAGGGAAAGAGGGTACACTGGGGACTGTTGGGCTCTGCCTTGGCTGGCCTTGCTTGCTGCTGGGGTGGGGAGGGGAAAACAGGGAGGGAAAGAAGGTACACTGGGGACTGTTGGGCTCTGCCTTGGCTGGCCTTGCTTGCTGCTGGGGTGGGGAGGGGAAAACAGGGAGGGAAAGAGGGTACACTGGGGACTGTTGGGCTCTGCCTTGGCTGGCCTTGCTTGCTGCTGGGGTGGGGAGGGGAAAACAGGGAGGGAAAGAGGGTACACTGGGGACTGTTGGGCTCTGCCTTGGCTGGCCTTGCTTGCTGCTGGGGTGGGGAGGGGAAAACAGGGAGGGAAAGAGGGTACACTGGGGACTGCTGGGCTGGGATCATACAGACAGTGATTGCTGCTGTGGGGAAGCGATGTCAGGGAGGGTACTAGCAGGAAAGACGGAACACAGGAGAAAGGTGGACGGGGAGGAGGTGGGGGGAAGAAGAAGACGTGTAGGGATGGGGGAAGAAGGAGGGTGATGTTGGTGCAACACTGAATGAAAGAAGGAAAGCCCTCAACCAAACACTACAACAACACATTGTCTAGAATATAGTGTGGAAGGGTTGAAAAGGTTTCATTCTCATTTGGAAGGAGAGGGAGGAACGGGGGTGGGGTAGGGGCGGGGGTGTGATAGGAGTGTTAAAGCATACTCACTTTCAGCGTACTGGTCCAGGAACAGCACTGTCGTGAGGGTGCCTACTTTCTTCCGACCGAGCCTTGGCCGTCGCACGTACAAGTCGAAGTCGCTGTACACCCAATTGCGCCCATCCGTCAATGCGTCGTTGCAATACGCTTGAATCATATCACGAATGTAGCCGTTCCTGTACTTGTCAGCTTTCAGAACAATACGCACGATAAAATGCTCCTCCGGCTCATTGAGGCCTAGGGCCTTGCGCAGGGCCGCCTCTAGGCTTTTGGTACTAGGCCACATCGTGAAATCAGTGACTGGGGTGTCAAAAAACATGATATCAAGAGCCTCATCCACGTGTTCCTGCAGGAGAGCTACAAAAATTGTGCACAACAAGGCAGAGTGGGAGAGAGAACAGGGGAGGGAAGGGAGGGCGTTAATGTTTGTGGCATGAGGAGTTTGCGGGGTGGGGGATGTAGGCACCCAATGCAGATGTCATTTGTAAGCACGGCGAAGGTTGAATCGAAGGGTTGCTGTTCACCTTAAGGTCCCCGTTCACATCCGAGAAAGCATCTAACGCCGTGATGACGTTATTGTACCACCCGTGTTGCCGTAGCGACATTGCAGAGCAGTCGATGGCCTGTCGTCTGATGTGGGCCTTTGCCACAGCACGGCTAAAAGCGGCCTGCGTTCGTGGCCACACCACCGGTGAGAAAATCAGGGTCGGTGTTGCATTCGGCTGGGTGCAAGGTCGAGTGGTTGAAGGAGCAAGCTGGGGTGCAACCGGCAACTTTTGGGAAGGGCTGGGCATATTGGCCTGGCGCTAAACCATGGCGTGACTGCCAGCATGAGGGCCTTTTTGCTGAGGTTGCTGATTCTCCAACTCAGCTATGCGTCGCGCCTGTTGTCGGATTTGCGCTTGCGCGGCCTCAAAAGCGGCTCGCGAAACCCTGGTTGCAGCAGGCCGCTGTTCACCATCATGCTCATAATGATTCTCCAAGGAGTCATCATCGTCGGAGTCTTCATCCGACCCGGCCTCCACATGTGATGGTCCAGGGTCTGGGAGAGCGGACTTCTATTTGCGCACACGGAGTGCCCATGGGAGTCCAGACGGCTGCAATTGTGTAGTAGGGGGCGCCACTGCGGCAGCAGGGGGTGCAGAGGCTGGTGGGATGAGGCCGGAGCCAGGCTGACCTGAGTTGGTTGGGTGCAACCCAGGATTGATATAGGAGGGCGAGGGTGAGAGTGCACTGGGAGCAGGTGGCAGGGAGGTCGATCCAGGTGCAACGGCGGGCCTGGACTGGCCAGGAACCGAGACATGCACATAGGCAGCGGAGGGAGAGATCCGGGTAGCAAGCTGATGAGTCGCCGCCGCTGCGTTGACATAGGCGGAGGAGGGAGAGTTAGTGGCGCTTGCAGCTGAAGGGGAGGCAGAGGCGGTGGGCAGGCCAGGGATTGTGTGAGAGGCGGCGAGCTGATGAGTCGCCACGATGACATAGGCGGAGGAGGGAGAGATAGTGGCGGCTGCAGCTGAAAGGGAGGCAGAGGCGGAGGGCAGGCCAGGGATTGAGTGAGAGGCGGCGAGCTGATGAGTCGCCGCTGTATTGACATAGGCGGAGGAGGGGGTGATACTGGCGGCTGCATCTGAAGGGGAGGCAGAGGTGGAGGTCAGGCGAGGGATTGAGTTAGAGGCGGCGAGCTGATGAGTCGCCGCTGCAATGACATAGGCAGAGGAGGGAGAGATAGTGGCGGCTGCAGCTGAAAGGGAGGCAGAGGCGGAGGGCAGGCCAGGGACTGACTGAGTGATGGCGAGCTAATGAGTCGCCGCCGCTGCGTTGACATAGGCGGAGGAGGGAGTGATAGTGGCGGCTGCAGCTGAAGGCGAGGCAGAGGCGGAGGGCAGGCCAGGGATTGTGTGAGAGGCGGCGAGCTGATGAGTCGTCGCTGCGTTGACATAGGCGGAGGAGGGAGTGATAGTGGCGGCTGCAGCTGAAAGGGAGGCAGAGGCGGAGGGCAGGCCAGGGATTGAGTGAGAGGCGGCGAGCTGATGAGTCACCGCCGCTGCATTGACATAGGCGGAGGAGGGAGAGATAGTGGCGGCTGCAGCTGGAAAGGAGGCGTTATGTGCATGTTGACCATTTCCTTGAGTGTATGTGTCTGCTCCACAACCGCCATCACCAACTGCATCAGCGCAGCCTTTCTTGCCCGTGCGGACGAAAGTAGAACGCTTCCCCTTCCGCACTTCTTTAGGTTTCCTCGCACGTGTCTTGCGCTTAGTACCACCCGTGATCGACACATTGTTCAGCGACACGAATCTCGAGCCTGTGGCAAAGGGTTATAAAACAAACAGAAATAGCAATAAGTACATTTTGTAGATTAAGTCGTCTGATCCGACAGTGCGCAGGTCAGTTGTTCATACGAATGGCTATGAGGAGTGAGACGTACCTTCAGCAAACACGTCGTCCTCGGGCTCGTCTTGGGCTCGCCCATTGCTGTGCATCGCGACGGCTTCCGGAGAGCCAAAGGTACCCACAGCCGGGTTTGAGGTAACTTCAGCGGCTCTTCTAGGAAGAACTGCAGCTACGAAGGGACTTGGCACGGGCTGCATTGTGAAACTCAGGAATTGGCAGAGAATCGGTTGATTGGCCGTAGGGATATCTGGTAAGAACTAAACTAATATGCCATAATCTCACCTAAGGTACCAGATGAATAGCCTAGAAACCCGGGCACGTGGGAAGCTCAGAAGGAGGCTACTAATTTTCTGAGTTTGATTAGAAAACAAGGAATGGCGAAAGTACCACAAGGAGAAAGGTGTTTGTTGATGGGAGAAAGAGGAGGGGTGGGTGGATGGGATGGTCAAACGGGATGGGATGGGATGGTCGCGCCAGTTGCGAAGCACCGTCCAAGCTGCAGACTTTATCTCACGGTCGACGTGTGGGGCGCTTTGACAGCACATCTTAGTCTCAGATCGAAGTTACGTGACCTCCCTAAGGGCGCGCCCTTCTAGTTCGTTTGGATGCGGCTAAATTAGATAGTTCACGTTTTTCAGCGGTAACAAACGTTTTTGGCAGGTCGAGATGGGTATTGAGCGCAAACTAGATGAGGAAAAGCGCCCCGTTACAAGGTTGCAGTGTGAGATCTTTGAGTGAGTTGCAAAAAACATACAGCCTTGGTTTTTGTTAGACACTTGAACTATCACATACTGTTGCTGGTTCTTGCGCACAATTAGAAGCGTTGGCAGTTTAGTACTCCCAGTGCAATTAGGGTTTTGGTGTGTCCAAGGGTAAATTAAAAACAAGACACCTTGTCAGGGTGTAATATGTCACGATATCGCGTGATCGCCATGTGTAGTCCGTTTGAAAACATAATTTTGGCCTTGATAGGCTGCTGTTCAAGGTGAATCCACAACAGTAGTGCATGGCACACCCGCGACACGCATAGTCGTCAGGGCATAAATGTTACGTCCACTATGAATGGATTCAGTCCGCTTATATTGTTTTACACAAAGCATTTGTACAGATGTACAGCTGCAGGGTTGTGATGGCATGTACTAGTAGACTTTCAACAAGGTGTTGCGATCAGAAGGTGGATCGTGCCTATGATCACCTCAGCAAGGTTCGCAAGATCATAGTATTGCAACGGAAGGTTGTGACTGTAGATCAGAGTGAATCTAGATGGACACAGTTGATAGAAACAAGCTCACACTTTCATTTATTTAGGACTACAAATGAATGTGAAACGTGGCAAGTACGTGGAAGCCGACGGAGCAGTCTGTCGACCTGACAAGTACATGGCAGTCGACGATGGGAGCTCGGCCCCAACAGCTGACACTTCTGGTCAACGGAAGGGGTACGTCGATCGGGGTGTTGCTAGACCGGTGCTGTGGTCAACCAGAGCACCTGGTGGTCGACCACGACACCTGATCGACGAGCAGAGCACCTGGTGGTGTCCTGGTTGACCAGGTAACCTGCTCAACAGTCGTAGACAACAGCAAACGGATGCACAGCAATGCAAGTCGGCCCATTCGTCGGGGCGCATCAGCGAGCATGCAGACTGCTGTCTTCTATGGGGCAACGCTGGACAGCAGCTCTGCTGCAACGTTGGCACGCCGTCGACCTGCTCTGTTGGCAGGTCGCCTTTCTGTAGTGATGGCGCGGCTCCTCTACGCAACGCTGGCAGGCGGTCGACCAAGCTGTGCTGGCGGTCGACCAAGCCGTGCGGGCGGTCGACCAGGCGAAAGCTGCTCGACGGAGCATTCGTCAAACTACTCTACGGAAGTCTGGCGGCTGCGAAATTCGTCATGTGGAGGTAGAGCAGTCAACGATTGAACTCACGCTAGTTGTTGTCGCTCTGCACTGTCAGGCCAGAATTGAGCAAGCAGCAAGCGAAGGCAAGGTCGAGCCTCATCGAGGTGGACGCGAACTACAGCAAGCTGACCTTCTACCAGTACTCTGCGCGACTGTACTCCTTCGTCGTGTAGCTTGAGCTCGGCGTATGTGTCGACGGCGACTGGCATTTTCGGCACTCTACACGGCTTGTCGCCTGAAGTTGCTGGTGAAGCCACAGCTATCACGACCAGGCGGGACTTCTCGCGGGCGACCTACGTGGAGCACCCCCCAGCTGCGCGCAGCTGCGAGTCAGGTGCACCGTTGTCATGCGGGTGCAGCGCTGTGCAGCAGACTTGCTTCAACGTTGGCACACCGTGGACTTGCAACGTGGGCAAGCCGCTTCTCTTCAGGGCTGGACCGGTGCGAGCTATGCTTCGCTGTATTGAGGTCGACCGTGCTGCGCTGGAGGTCGACCGACTTGCTTGCTAGCTCTGATGTAATCATTGTTGCCAAGGTTGTTGCTACCATTGTTGTTAGCTTTCCTTAGTCAAACACTGGCAAAATTTCACAAAGAAACTGGCAACTTGTGTGCTCTCAATGGAACGACAATGGAATGCCGAGATCACATGAGCACTCGTGCCTAGCCCGCAGTCTAGCTCGCGTTGAGGAAGTTATTTCCGCTCCGGTCGGGCCGTAGGTGACGCACCAAGGATCCCCTCATCACCGGCGGCCTACGAGGATCCGTTCCATGAAACGTCAACGACGGGCGGTGAAGGCGATGGCAACAAAGTGACCGGTTGGGGCACAGTAGGAGAAGGGAGTTTGACTTCATTTATGTCTGCGTCATCGTGCTTGTCGCAGTCGGTGAGCAAGGGAGGCATATTCGAGGACCCATCTGGCGACGGGCCAGACGGCTGTAGGCTGCACCCCCAGCACACCAACTTGGAAGTCGTCTGAGTCCATTTGAGTGTGGGACTATTTTACGTTCACCATATGAGGCATGTGTTATTTCGCGTATTTACTCGCACGGATAGTCTTGCGATTGTACCCACTTGACACATCAGAGAAAGGGTCCTTTGAGCATCGACTCGGCAAAGATGCCATGAAAATGTACAGTTATGCAACGACGATGAACAATCATACAGTTATAATTTCCAATAATGTTTGTAAGACAATCAAGGGTTGTTATGAAAAATACATAGAATTGAATGTTTGTTCGCATGTATCGCCACACAACCAAATTGAAACAAAGCGTAATAATAAAAGACCATGCGTAATAACTTCATCTCACCCCACAAGTGGGTTGCGCGTGGAAAGGGATATGGTACCCTAATTTCCGGCGACTAAGAGAGAAGCTCTCGCACGGCCTGTAGATCCGTTTGGCCCCTACTGATAACGTGAGGAGGTTGTCGCCTGCTTCTGCAAACAATAACATAGCTTGAAAGACAATGCTGCGGTGAAAATAAGGGTCTTTTCACAAACATGGCAAACACATGTAGCATGAGCTAACCAGGCCATAGTGTTAGAGCATCTAGCATCTTGTCTCTGCTGGGCTCTTATATAGAGTGTGGCATGTTCCACTTTGTTCCTTAGGGGTTAGGCTAGATGGACTTGTCTCATAACAAACAATCTGAGTCTACCTGAGCCTCATCTCATATGCACCATCTCCAGCTGACTTGGTGGCTCTAGTTCTCACAAAATGCATGCCAACAATCCACCACAACACCACTTGACCATGGAATTTGATGCAACTTGTGCTTTATATGATCAATCCTCACATGTCATATGGGGTCTTGATGGCTGCATCCAAACAAAATCACTGTTAGGTGATGCCCAGCTAAGCAAATTCCTATCCACTTGTGGTCACTTCCATCATGTGAGGGGCACATGAATCCATCCATAATATCAACAATGGGCAACTAATGATACCTCCCACAGTCATCACTGTTCAGCTGCAGCACTTGACAGCATTACTAATGGTGTGCATGGACAGGAGTGCTGCAGCATTAAGGTTGGCATGAATTGCCTTTAATGCCATTGTATTTTCCTGGAATTTTATGGGCCTTCTTTTAGCATGAGATGTAGGCGTGAATTCCAATTCCTCTACCGGTTGAGTAAAAACATTCCCCACTACAAACATTCTCTTCCCAATCTTGCTCGACATACTTCATGTCTTAGGTAAGCCACCCTCCTACCCTTTCTCCTTAGCTAATGGCGGGCCCCTCAGCCGCCTGACTCGTTCAACTACAGCAAAGATGTGAGTCGCCTATCACTGCTATTCCGCGTATGTTACTCTAGAAGCAACTCTACATATCCATCTCAGCTTGTTTGCCAAGCGGTCCCCGAACTATCGCGGCTCGTATCATCTCTTGTTCAAAGCTGACTCAGTGCCGCACCCGCCGTCACCGCCACCAAAGGAGTTCTGTATCTAGCGGCCCGTGCTTGTGACTTCCTTTTCGTAGTAGAACTCCATGATTGGGATGTCTACTAAAGCTCCTCGTGCAGATGCGTATCACTCGGTAGAGATCTCGCTCACACACACCTTCTGAATGTTATTGAGATTAATCAGTCGCGATCTCATCCTCACGGTCGGGGTCTCATTCTCGCGGTCGAGATATCTTTCTCACGGTCGATATCTCATATTATCATGGTAGCAATCTCAATCTCATGGTCCAGATTTCATTCTCCCGGTCGACATCTCATTCTCCCGGTCTACATCTCTCCCTCACGCAAGAATCCTCTCTCTCATGGTCTAAATCTCTATCTCACGGTCGAAAGCTCTCTATCTCACAGTCGGAATCTCTCTATCTCACGGTCGAAATCTCTCTCTCTCTCATGGTCGATCTCTCTGTCTCTCTCTCATGGTCGAAATCTCTCTCTCTCTCTCTCTCTCTCTCTCTCTCTCTCTCTCACGGGTGTTATCTCTCTCTCTCTCTCTCTCTCACGGGTATTATCTCTCTCTCTCTCTCTCTCTCTCTCTCGTACGGTCGAAATCTCTCTCTTTCACGGTCGATCTCTCTCTCTCTCTCTCTCTCAAGCGGTCCTTGTATTGATATAACGGGTGAGTACAAACGATCGAGGCAGCATAGAAACAGGCAACCCCAGAGACTAAAAGAACAACCTAGCAGCAAACCAGATCCTAAGGACAACCTACAACCCCACCCACCAACCA